CGCACGAAGGGAAAAAATCACATTTGAACAAAATCATGTTGCTCGCGCGTATACACGCACCGACAGGGGGGGGGGGCATAGCGTACCCGCGAAAAGAAAAAGAGCCGCACCTAAATCAAACCACGCGCATCCGCGTCAAGAAGCGCGCTAGAAATCAACCCCAGACCCAACAGTCTCGCGGATTCAACCCAGACCCGAGCCGACCTCGTGGAATTCAAACAGGCGGCATCCGAAGAATACCACCTGGTGGGGGGCAATTGTTGGGCATATGGCTCGGGTCCAGGCGCGCCAAGAGGCCAGCGCGATGCCGCGCCTGCAAAGGCGTACCCAAAGCCGCGCACATGCGAGAAGCTTAAGCGCCCAGAGGCCTCATGCGCGGACATGGACTCCAAACGACCGAACGGCGGCGTTTCAGCCGAAAGTTGACTATACCTAGTCTGCCTTGGAAACAACACCCTATCCCTTGAAGAGTGGTCACATCAGTGTCCTAGGTACAATGATGGACAAACCCCCTAGTACTAGGTAGGAGGATGGCTGAAAGTTCTGACAATGATAGCAGTCTTGTCACCGTGTAACTCACCCACCACCATGTAGCCTATAAATACGGCATTTACTCCGATGGGTGGGGGGATCGCATTTTTCACTCTCTGACTAGTATTACGAACTACTGCTTTCTCTCTATAAGAATACCTCCTTTCTAGACCTCTTGTTGTTACCCTTCTCACCCTCTTTTGTGAGTTCACCTCCTACCCTCAGCTGGAGTCAAACACAAACATATATCACATTTAATAATAATTAGAAAAAACTCTAACCGTCTAAACAGTAACACATGCAATGATGCAATTGATACTCGGTGTCGGTGACCATGTGTATGTGATTAAATAAATACATGAAATCAGAAGATCTGGACAGACATGTGACGTGGCGTATGGATTAATATACCAAAATGAAATTAAAGGAAATGGGAAAGTAGAAATCACAGTTAACCACGTAATTAAGTAGATAAGAAGAGGAACCTGCTGGAAAAGAAAATAAAAAAAGGTGGGATGTGACTAGCTACGGATTACTACAAAACCAACACTGGGATCAGTAAATGATTAAGGAAATTAGCAATAATAAATTAGTGTTTCGTGTTCACACGAGCCCAGCAGGCTACAAAACCACCAGAAGCAAGTCCCCAAAATTCAATCCATTCCTCTCACTCTCTCTCTCTCTCTCTCTCGGTCTCCCTTAATTACCAACAACTAGCGACTTCTTTCGAGAGAGTTGTCCTCTTCCCATCCTCGCCGGCGGCGATCATCAATCAGTTAAGGAAGAATCACCACCTCACCACCATCATCATGTCGGAGGGGACGGCTAACTGCGTGGACATCCTGCTGGCCATCCTCTTGCCTCCACTTGGCGTCTTCCTCAAGTTTGGCTGTCATGTATGTATCTATATATATGCAGCTTTCGGGTTAATTAATTATCAGTATTGGTTATAATTATTAGTTGGCTGAAATTGATGGGTGGGCAGGTGGAGTTCTGGATCTGTTTGGTGCTGACCCTCTTCGGCTACATCCCGGGGATCATATATGCCATCTACGCCATCACCAAATGATGATCAGGATCCTCTTCTCCCTCTCCGGCCGCTCATCAGGTACTCAATTTATTCTCTTCTTTCCTGGATCGATTGATCAGAGTATGTACGCCGGCCGGACGGCCTAATTCCTCAATCGGACGGCTACAGCTACATTACCAATACCACCCACACAAATCACTAGTAGTACTGTAATTAATTAATTAGATTTCTTCATTCAAACAAAATAATTGAGCACAGAATTGGAAAGCACACAGCGTCTACCTAACCTACCAACCAATCAATAACTCTATATACGCTCTCTACTTTTCCTTTGAAGGTCATGGGGGATATTTATTTATTTATTTATTTATTTATTGCATGATCCATGAATACATCATCTTCCTCCATCATCAGCCTGGTAAATTGACTGTTTGACTTTACGTATTTGTTTTGTTTTGCAAAGTTATGTGGACAGGTGGCGTCCGGCTGATGCATGGAGGGTGCTGAAGATAGGAGTCGTGTATAATAATAATAATAATTAATATAGTTGTGCTTTCTTGTATTCATGACATGGATTTCTTCTAATTTGAGTAATTTCTAGCCTTGTACACAAGGCAGGGGTTTGTTGGTTCCACATTTGTTTTGCTTTCTTGATCCTTGTAATTTAATTATGATGACGATTTGTTAGATTTTGTTCCACATTTGAGGGGTTTTTTTTATGTTTCAATTTCGTGGATTTTTACTTTTTACTTCTTATTCTTCGTGAGTGATATAAAATTTATTATTGAACCCTTTTCAACAATTCGAGTTATTGAGATCAACTGATTCTTATAGTCAAAATACCTCCTTGCAAGTGACCAACTTTTCATAGGAAAGTGTCAATTCGAAAAAAAGAGGAAAAAAAAATTGATGAGGAGAGCTCTCTCCTCTCTCCTCTCCCTCTGGTCGGCGGCCCTGGTAGCGGCCGGCAACGCCATCACCAGATGCATAACAACAATCTTCTTCTTGGCCCTAGCTAATCAAGGCGAAATAAAAGACTGGGAATCAGACTTCCGCCAGCCACCAATTAAGAAGAGAGGTCAAGATCCGTCATCACGGTCGCGTCGGCGGAGACCTCAGGATGAAACTTCCGATATCTCAACTGGGTATCGCTTGTTCCCGACTTCTGTTCTGAAGAGGAAACGGGAACAATGTCAGGCAATGTCGGGCGCTTATACAGAAGCGTATTCCAAAAGATTATGTCATCCGAAACGCGTCCTATGGCGCTTTGTCTTACCGGATTCCGATGATGTAGAAGACGAGTGTCGAAACCCTATGAATGGGTTGGAGCCTCGATCGATTATGGTACACAGTAATTCAGTGGAGTCGGTGATTGAAACTGCTCCTTGGGAACTTAGACCTCACGGTGAGGCGAGTTCGGAACTTAGATCTCAATTTGAGGCGAGTTTATACAAGTTTTGTTTGAAGAGTCCTTCTGATGGGTTAGATCCTCGTTCCCTTAGGGTTCATAGCAGACCAATGGACCCGGTGGATGAAGTTCTCCCCCGGGAACTTAGACCTCACGGGGAGGCGGGTTCGGGATTTCGGCCTCCGTGTGAGGCACGATCAAAGTATGTTTGTCTTATCAATCTGCGGTCCCCGGTGGCCCTGCTGTCGTGCCGGCTGGCTCGTCGCCGGAGTCGGTCCCAAAATAGACACCCGGCTGCCCTCCCACGTCAGGCCGACCATCCGCTTTTTGCGGCAGTGGGTAACGGTCTGGGAGATTTGCAGTTACAGCGAATCGATAGCGGGATTGGGATAATATTTGGCAGGGGGTTTTTTAATTTTAATTTGTTTTTTAATCTTAAAAACTCAAGTTTCCCATTCCGAATAGACTCCTTGCCGCCGAGGAAGATTGGACCCGAAGCAGCAGCTCTCTCATCTCCACGCAAGAATCGTACTCGGGTATGTGGTCTTTCGTGGCTGTGGAGCTTATTTTCGGGTTTTGGGTGGATGGACTGCCCTCCATGCAATTCTTTACGTTGTTCTCTAGCTACCCATATCATTGGCCTTTTGCTTCTTTATTTCCCAATATTGTGGCTACTGCTGACTTCAGTGTGCCGACTATGTTGCAGAAAAGCAATATGGCACGTATCACCAGCGACCAAGTTGTGGAATTTTCACTTGCAGAGGTCCAATCCGATAGGGTGCGTAGAGCAAGGATGCTACTCGGCCGTGTATTCTTGGAGGAGCGGCTGACAACCAAGGAACTGCAAGCTGCGGTTAACAACCCGTGGCAGGGCCAGGGGAACATCAAAGTGCGGGAGGTGGCTCATGAGCTGTACGAGTTTACTCTCCCCAATGTAGCGGCGAAGAGCTGGGCTCTTCAGCGCACTCCGTGGGTGATTAAGGATAGAATTATTCACCTCCGGGCATGGACGCCGCAGATCACTGCACGCACTTTTGATGAATTAGCAGTTGCTCCATTCCGAGTTCAATTGTGGGATGTGCATGAAGATTGTTGCACTCAGCAATTTGGGAGAAAAGTGGCGAGCTCGACTATCGGCCGAGTGCTCGAAGCTGGTGTGTTTACGTGCACTGGCACGACGGCTAACTTTATTAAAGTAAAGGCGCTCATTGATTTCTCCCAGCCACTTCGATCACAAATATGGGCTGCGAACGAGGAGATAGGGTCATTTTGGATCCGCTTCAAATATGAGCACCTCCCCAGCTTCTGCTATAATTGTGGATGAGTGGGGCATTATCGCCAGAGCTGCACATATGATCCTCCTACGAGAAAGGAGAGGTTTGGTCCTCACATGATGACAAAACAAATGGGGCGGAAAGTCTTCGATGAGTTGGAGATGGATCATCGCTTTCATGGGCAGGGCAACTCGGTCTGGGTAAACACCAATGTTCAGCGTTCGATGGACGTGGAGGCTAAAGGAAATGGTGGAAAGACTGCTCTGTTGCACAGGGAGCCTAAATCGGCCAAGCACCCTGTCGTGGAGGACAGCCCGAAATGGTTGGGTTCCTCGAGTAACCCGTTTATCACTACTGAGAAACGAGCCGCCAGCAAGACCCGGAGCCCGGTCCATATCTCGATCGCAAAATTTCCTAAAGTATCGGTGGGGAGGCAGGGGCGTCGTGGCAAAGGGCACGCCTCCTCTAGGGCCAGCCCTATGGATATTGATGGGGCTCCTGTCCCGGTCCAAGAACTACGCCGGATGGAGCTGAACCCGAAATCTTCGCGGGCCAAAGCTGGGGTGCTGGTGCGGGAAAGAAGCAAGCCCGCGAGGCTTTGGCGCGGCGCCATGCGAAGGCCCCAGCTCCGATTGCGATCCCCCATGCTGAGGAAGTGGAGATAACGCGACGTCGGAGGCTCATTTTGGAAGACGAATAGGAGGACGATTTTGTCATTCAGGATGTCAATCCGACTGTTCAGGGGGAAGCTCCTCGTATGATGTGCAAGGCAGGCGGCAACCGCCCTGTTAGTCTGGCAGCGGATGCTTCTCATGGGGATCAGGTTGATATGGGCCGAGATGATGGGGCTGGGGAATTACCTCGCGCTGTTCCCAGAGTTACTAGGGACGCTGGCCAAGTGGGGCGTCCTCCCAAGCCCGCCATGAAGCCTGTGAAGGCTAGGCTGTCCGGTCGGGCACGCAGACCTGCCAAAAGTCCAATGGTGGAGGCATCCGAAGCTGACCCTATCCAGGGAGCGCGGTTGCCAGATGATGCGGGGGTGGACGTGGAAGAAAATGGCGCGGCCGATTCTACATGTTTGCATTCCCCCCGTGGGCCTGATGGTCACCTAGAATTGGATGAGGCCCTGTCGGAGGAGGATCCCCTGTGCTCAAAGGCAAGCTGCGGAGGCTTGCTAAGTCGTCTAGGGTGGGCAAGGTGGTGAGTGCTTTTGAGAAGGGTTTGGTGATAGGAGGCGAAAGAGATGATTTGGGCTTCGGGAAAAAGCAGAATTAGGAGGGCATGGCTAAGCAGGTGCCTCGTGTGAACATTGCTCATAATGTTTCCGTGGAGGAGTATGGAACCAACTTGCTAGACCATGAATCGGGAGGAAAGAAACGACAGTTTGAGGAGATTGATGGGGAAATGGAGGATAATCCAACCCCTAAAAGGCAGTTCATTGAAGAGAAAGAAAGTTTTGAAAAGGTGGAGGAAGCCAGCCTCGAGTGGCCCCAACCTGATAAATGAGGCTTATGGCCTGGAATGTGAGAGGAATTGGGCCATCCCTCACATTTCAAACTGTAGTTAGGTTAGTGCATTCCAATAAGCCGGATCTCGTGTTTTTTTCGGAAACACGATCGAGCCGCAGAGTAGTGTCCCGCCGTATGCGGGGTTTGGGTTTTCAGCTTTCCCATTGTTTTTTTTGTTGATGCTGTTAATGCATCTGGTGGTTTAGTAGTTGCTTGGTCCCCTGGGGTTGATGCCTCAGTGTTTTTCCATTCGGATTTTTGTATTTGCACCCAGATTAATGAATCAGACTTTTCTTATGTTGTGGTTTCGGTTTATTTGAGCTGTGACTTGGGTATTCGAACTAGTCAATTGACCCACTTGCAAACGATCTGTGATTCGATTCAGCTTCCTTACATCGTCACTGGAGATTTTAATGCTACCCTTCGGGAGAATGAAAAGGAAGGGGGGAATACCTGGAATGCTTCCCAGGCTTTTAGCCTTCGAGAGTTTATCCAGGATCTAGGCCTTCATGATCCGGGGTACCAGGGGGATCAGTTTACTTGGACGAACAAACGAATGGGCGCGGCGTGCATTTGCGAGAGACTGGATAGGGCCCTTTGCTCTCCCTCCTGGATTGAGAAATTCCCGGAAACGCTGGTTAAACATTTCACAGACCAGGGCTCTGATTATTGGGCCATCTTGATCTCTGATAAGGCCTATGTTCGCAGTTCTAGGCCTCTCTTCCGTTTTGACGCCCGCTGGGCAGATAACCCCGAGGTCAGAGCCATGGTCAATTATGTGTGGCAAGAGAGCATTCCAGGTACCCCTATGTTTCGGCTCTGGGAACGCCTGAAGAAACTTCGTCATCTCCTGTATGATTGGAGCAGGGCAGGGACTACGAATTCCCTTCGGAATATAAAAACCCTCCAAGGGGAGATCGATCGAATTAAATTAGCTCATCCTATTGATTGGGACACGATTCATAGCCTTGAGACTGAGCTCTCTCGCCAGTGGGAGGCGGAAGAGATTTATTGGCAACAAAAGTCTCGGGTACGATGGCTCCAAAAAGGCGACAAAAACTCCTCCTATTTCGATACTGTGACGAGGGCGCGACGGAAACGAAACTTTGTCGCAGGGTTGCATAATGAGGGTGGTGATTGGGTAACTGAGGAGGTCGGGAAGGCCAATATTGCTACGGAGTTGTATCAGAATCTGTTCACCTCTGATAATCACATACCTAATATGGACGAGAGGGTGGGGGCTCTCCCCATCCACCGGACCGTCACTCCCGACATGAATGCTAAATTGACGGCGGCTGTTCTCCCAAGCGAAGTACGCAAAACTGTCTTCGCCATGGGATCCAAGCAGGCCCCAGGCTCTGATGGGTTCACTGGAAATTTTTTCAAAGCCTTCTGGGATGTGGTAGGGGATTCAGTAGCTGAAGCAGTATGCTCTTTCTTTGAGACGAGTAGAATGCTCCGTAGCTTCAACCATACATGGTTAACTCTGAACCCCAAAGTGGATAATGTGGAGTACATGCGGCAGTTGCGCCCAATTAGCTTATGCCAATTTGTGTACAAGATTATCACCAAAATCATGGCCGAGCGACTCGCGCACCTTCTACCACAAATCATCTCGGAGGGTCAAAATGCTTTCATCAGAGATCGCCAGATAGTTGATAATATTCTCATTGGGCATGAGCTGATGCATTACCTCAAAATTAAAACGCGAGGGAAGAAAGGGTACATGGCTCTAAAGGTTGACATGGAAAAGGCCTATGATAGAGTCGAATGGCCGTTTCTCCTGGCAGTGTTGGACAAAATGGGGTTTAGCTCGACCTGGCGAGGGTGGATCCAGGAGTGTCTCCGCTCTTCCTCTTTCTCGGTGCTAATGAATGGTACTCCTTCTGGATACTTTACACCGTCCCGGGGACTAAGGCAGGGGGATCCGCTCTCCCCTCTCTTATTTGTGCTCTGCACAGAGGGGTTTGCAGCGCTCCTCCGCAAGGCCATTGAGAATAAAAAATTGGATGGAGTCAAGGTGGCACCGCACGCTCCTAAGGTCTCCCATCTTTTCTTCACGGATGACTCGTGTCTCTTCCTGAGAGGTACTCTTCAGGAGTGCGAGAATCTGATTGAGGTACTAAACGAGTATGAAGAGCTGAGTGGCCAGCGTGTTGGGCGTGGGGGCAGTCGGGGTTCATGATTAGTACCTCGGCCTGCCAACTCTGATTGCCCGATCGAAAATGGATACGTTCAGGTATCTGGAGGAAAAATTGTTAGAGCGGCTTCAAGGATGGAAGCAGCGGACATTATCTTGGGCGGCTAAGGAAACTTTAATCAAGTCAATTGCCCTGGCCTTACCTCTGCATGTGATGTCCTGTTTTCGTTTACCCTTGTCCTTGTGCAGGCTCCTGGATAAGCATGTTGCCCGATTCTGGTGGGGTGCTGAAAGGGGACAGGAGCGGGTCCGATGGGTGTCCTGGCGTAAAATGTGCCAGAGTAAACATGAGGGAGGAATGGGGTTCTTCCGGTTTGAACACTTTAATCAGGCTTTGTTAGCTAAGATCGGTTGGCGTATTCTCTGCGAACCCCAGTCTCTTCTGGACCAGGTCTACAAAGGTAAGTACTTTCCTACTGGGACGTTCCTGCAGGCCAATCCACGTTCGAGGCCTTCCTGGGGGTGGCAAAGTATCTTGTATGGGAGACGGCTGTTGGAGGCGGGTCTTCGCTGGCAGATTGGTAATGGCAAGACGGCCTCCCTCCTTCACTCTAACTGGATACCTCGGTTCCAGCTCGATCCTCTTTATTATAATCCGCAGATCTTACTAGAGGGGGGTGACCCAAAGGTTGCTGAGGTGATTCTCTAGGGGGAAGGGCGTTGGTGTGCTCCTAAACTGAGGCAGTGGTTTGATCCGCCTACGTGTCGGGCCATTGAAGCTATTCCTTCTTCGGGGTCTTTTCGGTCAAATCTGCTTATCATCTGGCTGTGTCTCTTGATAGGAGAAATGGGAAGTGTAAGGCAATGGCAAGTTGGATGGATAGGGCTAGTTGGATCCGGTTATGGAATGCTAATATCCCTCCTAAGTTAAAAGTTTTTGTCTGGCAAATCCTCACTCAGACCCTTCCTACCACGGAGGCCCTGATAGAGAAGCATATTCCAGTTGCTCCTCGTTGTCCGGTGTGCTGGGCTGAGTCGGAGACGCTAGAACATCTTTTTCTCGATTGCCCGGTAGCGAGGGCCCTATGGGACTACTCGGGGTTGGACTATCTGGGGGAGGGGTTGCCTAGACACACTTTTCCTTTGTTTCTTAGGAGACTCCTGGGCTTGATTGAGCAACCTACGCTGTTCATGGCTGTTGTGGCAGTTCTGTGGAGAATATGGCGCTCCCGTAATTGGGTTGTTTTTGAAGGGAAACAGTTTAGTTTCCCTGCTTTGATGCGCCAGTTTTACCAGTAATATGATGAGTGGATGTCTTTGCCACCGTCTGCTCTTCCACAAGGTGTTGGTCCGCATGTCCCCACGGTACCCATTCCGGATGGGGCGGATAGGGTTATTTGTATGTGGGATGGGGCTACTAGGAGGGGATCTCATGCGGCAGGGGGAATTGTTCTTTTGACTCCTAGGCGGGAGGTCCTGTTGGTTAAAGGTGTCCAGTTCTCAGGGATAGATGACCCGTTGGTGGTAGAATTGCTTGTGCTCCGGGATGCGATTTTGTGGTGTTTGGAGCTTGGCTATTTGAGTGTCGTGTTTGAAGGGAATGCCAAGGTGATCATTGATAAAATCAACCAGGCTGATGTTCGAGATAATCAGACGGGGGCGGTTCTTGAAGAGGTTTTGCAGTATTTTAGTCCCCCTTCTGAGTTTGCGGTTCGATTTGTAGGTCGGCGTTGCAATATGGTAGCCCACTTGGTGGCTCGTAAGGCCCTTTCTTTGTACCCGAGTATGAGTCGGTTCTTTGATTTCCAGACCTGGCTGGCTTCCAGGATGTAACTATCTCTTCGTTGATTTCAATATATCATTATCTTTTGTAAAAAAAAAAAAAAAAGATCAACTGATTCTTGAAATGATATCAGAGTCTTTTATGGTCGAGAGGTCTTGCGTTCGAATTTCGATAACCTCATTTGTGAAGCACATGTCAGGGAAACAGTATGTAGAAAACGGATTGAAGGCGTGATTTTGATCACTCTCCTTAGAGTGTTTATTTGCCCCCACTACTTAGTTACTGGTAGGATTTAGGCAAACCACCCCCAGGAGTCCCTCCAATCAAAGTCAGAAAGCAGCACCTTTCGTGACTTCGGTGTTCGTGTTTTTGGAGAAGGAAAAAACGAGGAGAAGAAGATGAAAGTTGGACGAAAAGTTCAGCTGCGAAAGACTTTTTATAGTGAAAACGACAGTTCCCTTCCGAAGGGTTACGTCGTTTCACAAAAGTCAAAATCAAATAATTATCCAAATTAATTAATTAAAATAATTCCGGTAATTAATTACCCAAAATTTCAAATCCGAACGCGTCGCGCTAAGTGCGTAGTGCAATTTAATATGTCAAATTAAATAGCCCACACTTTTTCCAAAAGCCTAGTAACCACTTTATCCAATAACTAAAGTGTAAAACAAACTTAAAAACAACTTGCACTTTCCTTCTCCCACCAATGTGCTATTTCCTTTACTCTTTGACTACTCTAACAGCACTTGTATTCATGACATGTGCAAACAAAA